GGTGGGGGGAGGGGGTGGTAAAATCACTGTTTTATTTTTTTAAAATAACATTGTAACCTTTTTATGTGTTATTGTTCATTCTATTGCCAAAAATGTAAAGATTATTTGAACAAATTAAAACACTTTTTACACAAATGTTCAACTTGACAATAAAATAGAAGGCATGGTTTCTGTATTCTCATGTTCTATATAGGAGGAAGCTCCGAGCTGATATTAATTCATCATTTCCTTCACTTACCACTGAAAACCTTGCGGAGCTCATGCCATCAAAAGAAGAATTGAATGTTGTTAAGATCTATACCCACAAAGGAGATGCTGTTACGGTGTATGTCCAGAACCATAACCCCATCATGTTTGAGCTGGATCGAAATCTCTACCCATCAGGTTAGATTTAGGAATCCCCATAAAAGTAATTGTGATAAAAAAAAAAAAGTCTGTAAGAAGATCTACACTGACACATAAGGATTTATAAACCATCCAAATTACCAAATTCAATTAACTAATTGCTTATTTAAAAAACAAAACAAAAAAAAACACATATTCTCCTACTAAGCTATTTAGCCTAAACTGTGCAATTTTGTTTTCAATATTCTAAATAAATACCTTAATCTTTATGGTGTCTACGCTGTCTGTATTCATAGTTTCTTAACATTATAGTTACTTATACAGAAAATTTATACACAGAAGCTTGTAAATTACTGGAAAATATAGGGGGGGAAAACCTAGATCTAAATGTCCAAGTCTATTCCTTTAAATGGACTGACCATTTTGCATGTTAAAAGATAAATAGTTCTTGTTTACAAACATGAATCCTAGGTCGTATCTGATACCTTGTCACCTGTACTTTTCCAACAAACACCTTGTGCAGGGTTTTCTCTTTTAGAATAAATGAGGCTGCTTGCGCATGTGCAGTACCTAAAATAAAGGTTGGGGGCTGTTATCCACCTAGTAAATTAGGTTCTGTAAACAGCTGCACTGCATCTTCATGAACAGGCTAGACATAGCTTTTTTAAAATATATTTTGTAGAAAAATGTAAATGTCCAAACACAGTGGATCTGGCAACTCTAGTGTGATGCACACTTTAAAATATGGAGGAAATCAATATAAATCTCACAGCTTATGTACCATTATACATACGTTTGTAAAATTATTGTGCTTTAACTTGTGATGCTCCTTGTTGTATGTGTTCTTTTTTGGGGGGTGAGGAGGAATGGGTCTCTTTTACTTGTGACCATATTATATATGTCCTTTCATTAAAGGGACACCAGAGGCACCCAGATCACTGCCACTCATTGAAGTAGTCTGGGTGCCATGTCCCTGTCGGTTTAAAGCTGCAATGTAGTGTTTAAATGTCTATAGCGGCTATCACTCTGACAGTCACACTGGGGGACGGCAGTTGCATTATAAGCACTACATTGGCATGTAGTAATTATGGTGCCTAAAATGCCCAAGTTAAATTATCCTTATGGGGTTAATACGAATTATAAGCTATTTGTGTTAAGATTTTCACATATTTCTGCTGTTACTATGACCGTGGTTGTAACCAGCTGTTTTTTTAAATCCACACAGTCTATACTTTATGGCGCTATCCTGATCTTCTCCCGGCTTTCACCACCTGGATGCCTGTACTAGAGAAGTTAGCTGGAGGTGCAGGTAAGAAACACTGGATATTTACTGTGTTTAAGGCTACATTATCCAGAAAGCTTTTCTATTGCTTGAGATGCTAAAGAAAGATGCAAAATGTAAGCAGATTCTGATTTCAGAATTAATACAAAACTCTGAACAGATCTTCTTAACTGGCACCAAACATTTTATCCGAGTTGTTCACTAAAGTGAGAACAAATTTAAGACCAAAATATAACTGATCTGGAAGCATAGCTGATGTTTCCAGTTTGGCTACTTTAACCTTAAATGTAAAATTTACTGTGAATTCCTGACAATTCGAATGCTAGTGAATAACCCTGTAAGAATCTGGAAAATGCTCTTCTACGTTCCAAGCATTCCTGTAACATGACAATAATGTAGTAGAGAGTACAGTTAGAATTGTTTACACAATAGCTTTAAATAATGTGCTCTCTGTCATAATTACTGTTGCAGGTTGAAAAGATTTTTATAAGGGATTTAAAGCGGAACTATCACTTCTCTAGAAATGACAGTTCCTTGTTCCTTCACTTAAGTAAAAGCTATTACTTTGCCTCCACTGCCCTTCCTTAATTCAGGGGATTTGCTACTTGCAGTGAATGTAAATTAGTTATCTTTCAAAGTGTCATGCGTGTATAAGGCACTTTAAGAGTTAACAAATTTACAAACTTTGCGCAGTCGTGGCCAGTAAACTATGTCAACTAAAAAATTTAAATAAAATTAATTTTAAATAAAAATAATCTTTTAACACAACCTTTGGATATCTTTTAGTTTGCTATTTTATTGTATAAAAAGAGAGGCAGTCTCAGTTCATCTTTAAAAACTGTGAAACACATCTATTTGTCAACTGTATTGGATACGGTTCTGCTATGTGAAATAGGCAGATCCACTATTACCCCTTAAGGAGCAGTGCCACTCTACACTACACAGTTACAATTTGGTACTGATTATTTACCATTGGTAGACCCCTGCAGCCCCGCAGTCAATAGCGAATTAGGACACTCCATGTCAGGTTAGTGTTGTTAAGGACCAGTTTGTTAGAGGCCGTCTTTGGTCCTTAGACGCCTAAACATTCATATTCTGAACTTGACTCATAGGGTTATTGGCCGCAGTGGAGTTAGCATGTTAAGATACTGTTGCTTTTTAAAAAAAATAATTAATTTTTCATTTTGGTTTGCAGGTACATGTACGAGAATGCGAGACATTCTTATAAACCTGTAAAATAAGTATAAATCCACCTGGAATCCAATGCCGGGTAAAGCTCCCTAGCTGGTTTTACTTCTGTCATCAGAAGTCATCGCTGTTTTCCTCCCGAGGTCCAATAGAGTTCTGAGCTGTCTAATTAGGACGCAACACACCCGATCAGCACGTTATTCCAGCCTTCTCTGTGTGTGTCAATTGGGTGAACTGTGTAAGCGGCCAGCCTCTTAGCAATGTAAAGGATGCTGCTCGCGATCAAGGTGCACCCTTAAATAATGAAAAGGCGCACCGTGTCATTTCTGGTCCCACTTACGTCAGGAGTGACGTGGATCAATCAGTTTAAACACTACACTATTTAAAGTTCCCTAGCCCCATTTGCAGTGTCCCATTGTAGTTTCTGTTTGCAGTACCCATCTAGTGCGTTCCTCTAACCTTGTCTGTAATTTTGGTATTGACCTTTTACTTGTTTCTGGATTTTGAGTACATTTATAACCCTGACCAGGCTACTTTTTTCCTGATTTTCTGTTATCCATACAGTGGGAAACACTCTTGATCTCGCCTTCACCAACCTCTGTACCGCCTCTAACCTCTCCAATATTCATTTTCCTTTATCTGACCACCATCTGCTGACTTTTGACATCAGTACACCCAAGTCCCAACTGACACCAACCTCGGCACATAAATATCACAGAAAATTCCAATGTCTTGACCTAGAGCTCTTCTCCAAACTCTCCTTTTACCTATCTGAAACCTCACCTGCCCTAGCTCTGTAATCTCTTTCTACAAATCCACCCTCTCCTTTCAACTAGACATCATGTCACCTACTACACTTAACGCAGCAAGCACCCCCAACTTCAACCTTGGCACACCAAGCTGGCTATATACCTCCAAAAATGCTCCAGAAATGCTGAACGCTGCTGGAGGAAATCTCTCTCCGCATCTGACTTTCTCCACTATACATTTATGCTGCACTCTTACAGCTTGGCTCTTTCTTCTGCAAAAGTAGATTACTTCAATACCCTCATAACCATACTCTCCCACCAACCCAAACGACTATTTCACACTTTTAACTCTCTTCTTTGCCCTGTTGCTCCTCCTCCTCCTACCAACTTAACCGCCACAAACTTTGCAACTCACTTCACTGACAAGATCTCTACAATCAGGGAAGAGATCTCTAATCTCTCTCCTTCCCCTTACAATACTTGCCCCAAACTCACTCCCTCTGCTTTTCTATGCTCATTTGCACCCGCTACAGTAGAAGAGGTTTCTTATTTGCTCCTTTCCTCCCGCCCCACCACCTGCTCCCTTGATCCTATTCCCTCACATCTCATCCGTACTCTGTCTTCTTCTCTTTCTCTACCTCCCACTAAAATTCTCAATCTCTCCCTCTCATCTCCAACTGTAACCTCGATTAAAAAAAAAAAAAAAAAGCCCAACTACCGCCCTATTTTGCTACTGCCTTTTGCGTCCAAGATCCTTGAAAGACTTGTGTATGTGAGATTGACAGACTTCCTCGAGTCCAATTCTTTGCTCGACCCACTTCAGTCTGGTTTCCGCTCTCAACACTCTGTGGAAACGGCTCTGACCACAGTATCAAACGATCTACTAACTGCAAAATCTCATGGTCACTACTCTATCCTAATTCACCTTGACCTTTCCGCTGCTTTTGATACTGTTGATCATCAACAGCTTTTTCTCATCCTCTGCAATCTCGGTCTACGAGATATTACTCTCTCCTGGTGTTCCTCCTACCTCACCCAGTGCTACTTTAATGTCTCTTTCTCTGGCTCTGCCTCTTCCTCCCAAGTTCTCTCTGTTGGTGTCCCCCAATGTTCAGTTCTTGGTCCCCTACTGTTCTCGATCTATGCTGCCTCCCTTGGTAAACTCATCAGCTCCTTTGGTTTCCAATATCACTTCTATACAGATGACACAAATCTATATCTCCTCCCCTGATCTCTCCCAGCCCCTCTTGACTAGTGTCTCTGACTGTCTCTCTGCTATTACTAACTGAATGGCTGCCCACTTCCTTAAACTCAACTTGTCCAAAACAGAACTTCTGGTCTTTCCTCCCTCAAGTGTTGCTACTCCTGTGTCTGTCTCTCTCCACGTTAATGGTGCTACCTTCAGCTCCACCACGCAGGCTCACTGCCTAGGTGTTCTCTTTGACTCCGACCTATCCTTCACCCTTCATGTCCAGCGGATCGACAAATTCTGCCGCTTCCATTTCAAAAACATTGCGCGCGTCCGACCCTACTTAATGCCAGATGCAGCTAAGGGGCTGGTGCATGCCACTGTCTTCTCTCGACTTGACTACTGCAATCCCCTTCTCAGTGGTCTTACGTGTTTCCAACTTGCCCCATTGCAGTCTATAATGAATGCGCGGCGAGGCTCATCTTCCTGTCTGCCCGCCCCTCTCACGCCTCGCCCCTCTGTCAGTCCCTGCATTGGCTTCCTGTAAGATATAGGGCTCAATATAAAATTCTTGTTCTTTCTTTCAAATCTCTACATAATGCTACTCCCACTTATGTATCCTATCTAATACACAAGTATGTCCCGTCCAGGCCCCTACGCTCTGCCGAAGACCTGCGTCTATCCTCTGTTCGTACTCCCACCTCTGATGCTTGCCTTCAAGACTTCTCTAGGGCTGCACCGTTCCTGTTCCTTTACGCTGCCATGGAATAATGCAGTAACCCATTCTGCTTTCCCTTGTCTCTATGTATGTTCACTGCAATGAACAATCAATGCTCACGCCAGTCAGATAAAATTCAAGAAAGAAGAAGCCTTTTTTTTTTTTTTTAATGCTGGTACATTGTAGATATGAAAAACAGTTTTCTTAGTAATGTGTACAACAAAAAGCAAGATCAACCAATCATAGCATTTTCAGTGCAAACAGTATTCCTATTACGTATTGCTGTAAGTCTACTGCGCATGTCTAGCACATCTTTTTGCTATATTTATGGAGGCATGAGGGGCCCAAGGGGGCTAGATGGTGGTGTTAACACTATAGGGTCAGGAATACACGTTTGTGTAGAAAAAAGGTTTTTTTTTTAACTCTATTTGCCTGTATATATGACAAGTCCCCTTTTCTGGTACTGCAGGTGAAAGTTTAGGCAAGGTATAGCCAGGTGTACTAATTACCCATGTGGGACTTTCATTATCGCTTTACTTCTATTCCCTTTGCCCTCTTCCACCAACAACAGAACCATCAAGGAAGGCCTGTACAGATATTTGTAGATACAGGACAATATATGTTATTAATTCCACATCTCACTATGCAATACATCCATAGGTTAATATATATCCATTTATAGCTATGTATGTCTAGGGGAATATTCACTAAGCATTGCATAGGTAAGACAATTTATTCTCCATCACCACTCTTTCAATAACTCATTAAAAACTCAACCCCTCTGTTTCTGTGTGTCAAACTTGTCTGGTTACAATTACATGTTTGTTAGTCCACCCATTGTAAAGCGCTATGTAAATATAATAATAATCCTGACCCGACTAGTATCTACGTTTAGTTCTGTCTCTCCGTTTTTCTGACCTTGGCTTGTATATTGACTACAATTTTTCTCTTTTGTATGTTAAGTCCGGCCACTCTAAGGTCCGTTAATATGTCTAAACTGTTTCTCTATTTGTTGTCCTAAGTCACATGTGCCAGGTGTGCAAAAGTGCAAATATCTCTGTATTTGCACCATTTTAAGCAGAAACGCTGCATATAGAGATTCCTACCACCATGACCACTTCTAAAAGCAGAAGTGGTCATGGTGGCTGGAGTAAACCTTTGTGTCACTTTGGCTGTCAAAACTTTTAGAGAGTGGGATCAGTCATCGTGTCAGTCAGGCCCCTCTCCCCAAAATGGCTAGGGTGCTGCCTTCATAATGGTGAAATTGTTTTCTCAGTTTGTTGTTAATGCAAGTAGTTTTTTTGTTTGTTTGTTTGTAATGTGCATTTCAGTACCTTCAGTACTGTTGGGTGAAATTAGGGACATTTATCAATGTGTTGTGATCTAAAAAAAAGTGACAAAGTTGTGAAAGTGGAGTACCGTAATTAGCTTTCCATAATTGCCAGTTTTAGAACTTTGCACAGATTTTCAGATCATTGCATTTTGACACATCTCTCCATTTTATCAAACCTGAAAATGCAACAGCATTTATGTTTAATTAGCTTGTAAATCACTCCCCATCAGTGCCTGCCCCATCCTCACTGGCCTTCAACTAAAACCCACCAAGGCTCTTCTTAAAGATCTTAGTAGTCTAGTCCAACGTTGTGCTAAGGAGTGGGATAAGAGGTAAATGTGGCTAAAGGGACGGGGGATAGGACTGTAGTGGGAGGCGATATAGAGGTGGATATAAAATATCTGTGATAATCAAATTATTTGAGCTTATTGTAAAGGCATGCGCACTGAAAGTCAAATGCACTTTTTTAATTTACCTTTGTTAGCATGGTGCATAGATACAATGTTAATTAACCTGTTTCTGCCTAACAAATAAACTGTATGTTTTGAAAATGACATACAAAGGGCATATGTTCTGTTCATGCATTATAAATAGTTACTTCATGTCATGTGATGCTTGTCTTTTGCAGATCTGATGTTACCTGGAGTTGTGGTGCCCTCTAGTGGTCTACCTGAAGTAAAACGGGGAACTCTTTGTGCTGTCACAGTGGTTGGAAACAGGTAGCTTCCTCTACAGCAAAACCTTGATTACTTCATTAATAGAATTCATATTTAACACTTTAACTGCTGATAGGCTCTCTCATCAGTTATCACTATAAGCGGATTTCCTTGCTCTCTAAAAGAGAGCATTTTAATGTGTTTGAACAAGCACTGCCCATCTTATGACAAAGAAAAAGAACTCTATAGACAGAATATATTATAAAGATGTCTCACTGAGCTAAACAAACATAACATACATAACAGGACTCAAGGACAGCGGGGGATGTAACAAGTTCAATTTATTAAAGTGCCTATTTCTATTGAAACCTGCCCTTTTTGTAAAATGAAAATGCGGACACACTTTTCACACATAAAGCATTTAGACAAGTTATGTACATCTATATAACTTTATATTAGTCGTGTAATATCCAAGTATGGTTAACTCAACCTTTTGTCCTTTAGTGCCTTAAAATAAACACTATTAAAAAGGACGGCGATACCATATGGATCACAGGATGTTCAACTATTAAAAAACAACAAAAAAAACCTCTTAATGTGCCATTCCATTTCTTAAGACAGATGGGTGCATGTCGCATTCACTGACCTAAATATAGAGTCTGGAGAATGTTGAAAAAATAATGGCAACACACTTTCAGAATGTATTCAGACATGCAGGGAATTTTCTCCCTAATATAGATGAGCCCCTACACTAATTTTAACATGGGAGATTAACATGCTAACTGTTTAACCTGCTCTCTGAGACTCCTCAGTTTATGCTTTCCTGTGGTTACCTCCAAAGGGGCACCACCAATATTGGGTTACTGTGACGTAGTGGTGGACTTAACACAATAAGGCCATATGGTGAAACTGAATCCCCGTATTCGTTTGCTAGGATCGGTGATAAGTAATCTTGTAAAATTTGAAACTATTTTTTGTTTTAGTATGTCCACTGTTCTCCAATTTCTATTTTGTCTAACTTATAGCGTATCTGTTGTTCGTATACGAGTTATTTATTAATTTAAATGACCATGTCAGCAGTAATACCTCTTATTGGCTCTTTGCGAGGACTTCCTTTAGGCTGCTGTGTATGGAATATATATCCAATGGTTGCATGGAATGACTACTTTATCCTCTTTATGTCAAGGGCTCCAGTGGCAGTAGGTGTGGCTACTATGTCTACAAAGGAAATGCAGGCATCAGGGATGAAGGGGAAAGGTATCAACATATTACACACCTACAGAGACCAGCTATGGTAAGTGACCTGTAGAACCTCAGTAGCTTCACCTTGATTATTTTTGGTTCCATCAGCATGTCCAGGAAAAAGGACCACTTCACAAACTATATTGTATGTTGTGCGAGCTCAAGTTGAGAAATATATATTTAAACTGTGTCTAATCTTTGTCCACACACATGCCATGATGACAGGGTGTTTGGTGATAAGTCTTCCCCTCCAAGTATTGCTCCACTGGAAGTGAATCCTGCTCCAAAGGATACGGAAGAAGAACAAGATTCCCCCCAGGAATCTGAGATCTCAAAAACAAAGGAGGTATCCCTTCCTGAGGTTCCAGAAAGAGAATTGGAAACACTTAATCTAACAGAACAAGGGACTGTTGTTCCCCAAAATAGCACAGATAAGGTAGAGGATGAAGATGAAGACACAGAAGACATGGGCCATTGCCAAAGATCCCCACAAGGTTAGTGCTAAAATGATTTAAAAGGTGTGATGCAACAGTATAAATTGTTCTTGTTCTATTGATTTTGTGTAATGAGATAATTGTTGATAAATACAGAGAAGCAAATGTGCCCAAAACCTCGGCACTCCAAACTTTATGATAAGGTTATAGTAATTTTTTGAGGTGTGAGTGAATAGCTAAGGAAGTCTTAGTTTTTCTTCAGAGGAGCATTGATGAATGATTGAAAGGTAATGTTAATTAAAAGACCACTGTAATCACCCAGGCCACTTTGTCTCAATGACGTTGTCTGAATGCAGTGGTCCTGCCGTTTTGGTCCTTCAATATAAAACATTACATCAAAGATACGTTTAACCCATTTGTCAGAAGAACTCCAGGCTGGCTAATGTCCATTCTCTGCATATATATATACAGAATTGGGTTAGAATGGTCAGCTGATGCTTTCAGTCAATGAATGGCTGGTGGGATCAACTTCTGGCTTCTGCAGAAGTCGAATGTCGCCACTGAAGGACCCTAAGCACCAGGGAGGGACCCACGTAAAAAGGCATCATAAGCACTACTGTGGGCTGTTTGAGGTGTGCATCATAACCACAACAGGCTTTAGTGGTTATGGTACAAATATAGAAAATTAAGCCCTGCACTCAAACTCCCACTACGCCTGGGTGGCAGCAATGACTTTAGTACACATCAGCTCCAATACATACAATAAAAAAACAAACAAAAGAGTTACTTTTGCACTATCCCAACTCCCCATGCATAGTTATTTAAATGTGCATAGGGATTTGGGATAGTGTGCAAGTAAGTTGTCTTAGTAGTGGTTATGACGCTTGATTCTTTGATGCATTTTATGGTTTATGCTTTAGAATATATGAACAGACTGAACCTAAAATAAAACAATTACATTCATGGTCCATTATACTTCTGCTAATACAGTGCAAGCAGAAGCAGCTGTCAGAACCGTCCAAAACCAAGCAAGTGCATCACCAATCTGGAACCGCTTTCTTGTCTTTGGGGTCTGCACTTAAGCCATAAACCAATGTCCAGCAGGAGTATATGGGGGCTATGTTGTATATGTTTCTATATGGCTGCTATCTGTCTCATAGGGAGTAGGAGAGATCTGTCCACCCAAGCTGAGTGTTTGGCAAAATTGTCACGTACTGTGTAAAGCATACTTCAATTTATCCAAAAACAAACTAATTTTCTCTTTCTTTAAATCTGCAGAAGTTATGGATAGCTTACTGAACCAGTGCTTCTTTCATGCTTTAAAATATAAGATGAAGAAACCTGATCTCCCATTGCTCACAAGCACATTTCTTCGAAATTACCTCTACCCCTGCTGGTGAGTGTTAAAACAACAGTCAAAAAAGCACTTTCTAAACTGGAATGTTTTTTTTTTTTATTATGCATGGAACATAAGGCAATTCTGAGAGAGCCTGACAACTGTTGGTGTTTGTATACTAGCCTGGCATACTAACTGGCATCAAAAAGCTTGCGCTTAATGAAGCAGTTTTAGTTTGTAGGCTGTAACTCACGCATCCTGCATGGAAAAAAAAAGGTTTCAATTTAAATCAGACATTAACTTGCTTTAGAAGTTTTTATCTCATGCTCAGTACATTGAACTTTAATCACACATGGGAAGCTTCTGCACAGTCTAGGAGGCTATTAACAGACTAGGAGATAAGAAATTCTAGGTTACACAGGCTGTGCAATACAGGAACCTAATATACCCAGATTACTTTTCAGGAAGTCTTTAGTAAAGATGTGCAAGTCACATGCAGGGATTTGTGACTAGGGCTGTATAAACAAAATGATTTGACTACTAATTGACAGAGAGCTGAGCAATGTGACTGCAAGAGGCATGATTTATACACCAAACCGCTTCACCAAGTTAAAGTTGTTTTGGTGCCTATATTGTCCATTTTTAAAATGTGAAGCATGGTTTCTGTGTGGAATCCAACCTGTAGCAGCATAGAGCTGCATCATGATCAATGTAATATACATTTTAAAAGGACACTCATTGGACCTCACTCTCCATTTGTAGGGCGCTCCTACAGACTGGAACCAAGTGGGGGATGGGTGGTATATGCTCCAGAAATTATATGATTCCTTCAAGCTTAAAATGTTAGACCATGGTGCAAAATATAATACATGTTTGTGTTCCTCTAAGCATGGTTAAAGGGACACTATAGTGACCCAGACCACTTCAGCTCAATGAAGTGGTCTGGGTGTCAGGTCCCTCTAGTGTTAACCCTGCCTGATGTAAACATAGCAGTTTCTGAGAAACTGCTATGTTTACATCTGGGGTTAAGCCAGCCTGTAGTGGCTGTCTTCCGGACAGCCACTAGAGGCGCATCGGCAATGATTAAGGCATATTATGCCTCAATCACGCAGAGCATCCATAGGAAAGCATTGAAAAGTGCTTTCCTACGGACACTTTGAATGCGCGTGCGGCAGTGCTGCTCATGCGCATTCGGCGCCCGTGACATCAGACAAGGATGCTGACGTCGGCGGGGGAGGAGAGGTAAGGGAGCCTGGCGGTGGGTGAGTAGCGCCACGGGAGGGGAACCCTGAGGGTGGGGGCACCCTCAGGGTACTATAGTGTCAGGAAAACCAAGCGGTTTTCCTGACACTATAGTGTCCCTTTAAGTTTGACTTGTTAATGGAAATCCGTCAAGACAGACAAGACCACATTCTGTCTGCTGGAGTGCACAAATTTACCCTTAAAGTGTGTCTGCAAATATTTAGATACAAATGATTTATTTTAAGTACTTACTTGTACACATATTTTGCAAGCTACACAACTTCAAGATCTACACGCATAGCCGGTCCAGATAGATACATCTTGCTTTGTATTCATTATAATGGCTGTCTTGGATTTACTGTGTAGATGATTTATTTAACTACCTGAATACATCTTGATGTCCACATGCATTGTGGATGGTAAAATGCCAGTAACCTAGTTCTAAGTATACAAAAATTAAACACTGGTTTGGTTTACAGAAAGGCGAAAAAAAAATGTGACTATTAAAGGACCACTATAGTGCCAGGAAAACATACTCGTTTTCCTGGCACTATAGTGCCCTGAGGGTGCTCCCGCCCGGCTCTGGAAAGGGGAAAGGGGTTAAAACTTACCTTTTTCCAGCGCTGGGCGGGGAGCTCTCTGCCTCCGATCTTCCTCCGATCCGCCCCGCCCCGTCGGCTGAATGCGCACGCGCGGCAAGAGCTGCATGCGCATTCAGCCGGTCACATAGGAAAGCATTCATAATGCTTTCCTATGGACGCTGGCGTGCTTTCACTGTGAAAATCACAGTGAGAAGCACGCAAGCGCCTCTAGCGGCTGACAATGAGACAGCCGCTAGAGGAAATAGGGGAAGGCTTAACCCATTCATAAACATAGCAGTTTCTCTGAAACTGCTATGTTTATGAAAAAATGGGTTAACCCTGGCTGGACCTGGCACCCAGACCACTTCATTAAGCTGAAGTGGTCTGGGTGCCTAGAGTGATCCTTTAATAACTGGACATTATAACACTGGTTTCACTAATTATTTATTCATTTTCATTTAACCCAGCCCCGAAGGACAGCAAGTGGACATTAAGAAGTCCAGCTACAAAAAGGTAAATTGTCTCCTGTTTGTTTCTGAGTTTAATAGTGTGTGTGTGTGTGTGTATTATGACTAAAATAGAAGCACAGTATTGCAGTATTTCTTCTTTATTCTTCTAGCTTTCCAAATTTTTGCAAACAATGCAGCAGCGCAAGATTCTGCAGGTAAAGGAGCTTACTAAAGGGGTGGAAAGCATTGTGGATATAGACTGGAAGCACCCAGAGTAAGTGTAAAATCAGCTTAATGGTAATATTGGTGCTTTTTAAGAATTCTTGTACTAACCCTCTAAAATTCTGTTGCTAGTGCATAAGTGGGCACTCATCACAATATTGCCTTACCAGTATTGCAGAGCTGCTGGGGCAGCAATCCTTCATATCACTGTATGTATTCTTGATACCTTGCTCCCAACATGCATCACAGCTAACACATGTGCTTCTGATGGCAGAGCTCAAATTTTCCTACACTACTACCCAGGCCTAAAAGTTACTCTCCCCTGCAAGCATGCAGGTCTTAACCTGCAATTACTGCTGGCTAGTGGAGAGTGGATATTTTGAGCCTCATTGATTAGTTGCCATCCACAAAGAGAGTGTTAAAATTTTTTATTGTGAAACCAAAGCTGTTAACAGCACTGCCATAACTTTGTATGCCTAACACCCATAGGCAAAGCTCAACCATCATCCTACCTCTAATTGTTAACACTTAGTACCGACACACATATTTCTAACTTTACTGTTTAAGCCGAACTCATTATCCAGTAGCTTAACCGCAAGACTTACCCTTAGTTCCTTAATCAATATCTTAATCATAACCCTTAACTCATAAGGAATAGTTAGTTAGCCACATCGGGTATGCTGTAGTTACCATAATTCTGCTACCTGAAGTTGAGAAAGTCCATTTATTAAAGCTATGTTTATTTATATATATATATATTTATATATATATATATATATATATATATATATATATATATATATATATATATATATATATATATATATATATATATATATATATATATATATATTGACTATTGAATCACCAGTTTACTCTCACACTTTCTATTGTGTGAAAATATAATTTATTTATTTTTTAAAGCAAAGAAAAATATGGCCTTGAGTGGTGTTAATAGTTTTTATCTGCTGTTCAGAGGTGATGGGTTTCATATTAATTATGTTACATTAGTTTCTTATTTGCTTGTAAGTGAATTCACAAAAAGGTTTTTTTTGTGTGTAGTTTTTAATATCAATTAACCTTTTCTCGTCTTTTTTTTGGGGTCCAGCATTTTGTTTGGTTTTTATACAAGTGTGCAAGCATCCTACTTTATGGAAACTGCTTAGAACGTAAACAATATTGGGCAGTGAGTCAAATCATGATTATATGCATCGTCCCACTGAGTACAAAGCGTGTTTACTGCATCTTTAAAGGGGCACTCTTAGCACCATAACGACTACAGCTCATTGTAAGCCCACTTCCTGCACCCTGGTTGGAAGGCTTTCAATAGACAAGGAAGAAGTGAATCTTTAAATTTACGTGAGTGGTTGGGCTGTGAGTGAGTGGAGAACCTTACTTTTGTCAAACCGCTCTAAAACAATGTGACAGAAAATGGAAGAATGGCACCTAAAAACTCATAGCACCGCAACTATTGCAATGATGTGTAGTGATTCTTAAGACCTGCAGTCTTCTATTCCTTCCCCAATTGCTGAGCATAAGTGACTATAACTGCAGTAGGAGGTAGAGGAATAGTGTAGATGAATGCAGCTTCCAAGATGATTTTCCCCAGCAAATTGAATATTCCCCAAACATGAGCCTAGACTTCATGAAGGGTGTAACAGGAATGACGTTTATTGATGACACACTGGCTTTTATGAGAAATCCTCCTGCAAGAGGACCTCCCACAGTAAACAAAGACAATAACCAATCAACATACAGCTTTACAGTAACCCCCGCCCTCTCTCTGTCTGGTAGATATTGAGATAAGTTAAGGAATAACCCAATTATCTCCAGGCAGAGTGCACACAATTTTCCCAAAAGTTAGAACACCCCTTTCCACACAAGGTATCCCCACAAATTACATATCCCCTGATAGCCCCGATCTGGGGGACCAACATATCCAAATTTCACCCAGATCGGTTCAGGGGTTCTTAAAGAGTATGGAAGTCAAAAGTTACCGATCACACACAAGGCTCCTACCCAAAACAGTTCCACGAATTTGAAGTGTGCGGTCGGTCAATTCAGAAAAAGGCATACAACAAATAGAAGTCCCGAATGGATCTTCCTGGCTCATAGGAGCAATTGCTCCCCTTGTCCGTATGAACAAAACTACCGAATGGTGCTCTCCTGGCTGTTCGGCAACTAAAGGAAGCAGGCGTTCGGTAGTTTCAGCGGTGGTTCGGGAGGTCGAGTGTCCGATTTTAGTTCCAGACACTCGACGACCAAGTCCCATAGGAGAAAATACCGAACTAAGTCTATTTTCTTCACCGTGATTATGATGAGTAAAGTGCACCCTTAATAGTGTTTTTGTTTACTTTTCAACTACTACTCACTACCATATGTATCTTTGTTTTTTGTATTTTTTTTCTGTTACATATGTGCTCTATGTGTTTGCAGCATCAGATCCTTTCTTGCACCAGTCACTGAAGCAACCACTCCAACACTTGTGGAAAATGAGAGCGAGGCAGGAGATCATCCATATCAGCCACCTGAAATTACCTCCTTGTACGGTATTTCTGCCAAGATGCTCCCACTGTTTCAGGATACTGGACACAGGTAAGGAACACAATGAGCAGAAACATTTTCCATATAGCAGAGCCACAATTCTCTCCACCCCTATTGTGCTATTGTGTTTTTCTTTCTTGTTTATAACAAAGATAAATTGAAAGAGGTGTAACATAACTCTAAGAATGGGCTTGTTACTGTTAGAAGATAGCTTTGTCTTTTTTGGTCCCTCACCAGTGATGTATAGCAGATATCCCTCCAAGAACTCAGTTACTAGATTTTTGTGTGTTATAAGTATTCTCTTAAGTTGTGTTTTGGAGTCCGTTGTTATCCAGCTATTACACTTATTCATGTGCACAATACATGTTATATGTGTGAATTATTTTGTTAAATGATGTAATACATATTCTCAATTTACCAGTGTCTGTGTAACTAGAATTTACATTAAGTGGACATCCTTCTCAAACTATGTAATATTTTAGCAGTATTGTTGAGCTATAATTCCATGATATACAGCCAATAATGGATTTCTTTATAATCATTTTAATTTATTTACAGGAAGGGCAACCTCCTCACACAGAGTGATGTTCGAAGCATAATCATTACGTATGTGAAAACCAACGAGCTGGTGGACCCAGATAACAAGAAGTAAGTGATCTTATCTGTTTTTCTTGTTTCCAGACCCAGCCATGGAAGTGACTTAATATGGCATGTAATATTTATAGGGATATCTTGTTCATGTTTCATTGAGTGCAGAATTCTTATTGCTTAGATTGTCTTGTAACCGTTCAATCACTGTGACTTAATTTTCATATATTATTACAATGGATGTGTCTGTTGTTGCAGTGCGTGATTTGAAAACTATATAATGCCCTGTAAAATAAAGTATTAAACTACTTGTATTGCTCTTTAGTTTGTATAACCAATGAACATGTAAAACATAGAATGATATAGATTATTATGTATATATAGAATCACTCACAATTTAAAGAACCCAGTGAGCCATACTCTGAAATCTGTGCTTTTATGGGCAACAACTTTCCCCTTTCCTCATTAACTATATATTCTCTACAAGGTTATATGGAAAAGAGTAAGATCATTGTGTAACTCTGTTATGTAATTCAGCGTACACACAGTTTAGCCAAGTGAACATTTACTTCCCCTTGAAAGAACACTATAGCATCAGAACACAAACATGAATTCCTGACACTACAGTGTTTAAACAGTCATCAAGGTGTCCGGCCACCCCTCTGTGGAGAAATAAGGTGTTTAAACTCATCCTTTTTCCCGCTCTACTTCCGTCCCGTCCCAGCTTGTCCCGCCTCCTTGATTGACATCTTCAAATATAATGATCTCAGCCAATCCAATGCTTTCCCATAGAAATTGTGCATGTGCTGCAAAACCCTGCACTGCACTAATCAGCATCACCTCATAGTGATGCATTGAATCAAATATCAAATGTATACATTTATTATCAGTATTTGTGTAAGGCCATTTTCATGGGGAATTACTTTAATGAAGCCATATTGCCCCCACACTTTTACACACTTTGCTTTGTTGCTATTGATTGTGTGCCAAAGTAAAGAAATAGCCAAATTTGTGTTTTTCAACATCCTCTGAGTACAGTATTTTTACGTGCAATACTAAAACTATATAGTGGCACTGTATAGAGCAGTGGTAGTCAACCTTTTTCTACCTACCACCCACTAATGCATCTATCTTGATGGAAACATTTCCTTACCGCCCACCAGTTTTCGTGCAAGTGCGGAATATTTTTTAGAAAGGAGGGTGTTTTAAAAAAATAAATGTACTTACATTTATCTTTTTATTTCTAATTAATGCATGTTTATAATGTTTTTAACTTTAGAAAGTTTAATGAGAAAACAAAGTAAATTGAAATTACCTTTACTAGTGATTAAGGAGATCCTTGAGGTTGATGCTGCGAGACTAAATATTTGATATCTGGTTCGATTTTCGTAAGGAACAAACGAAGGTCTCCACTTTCGGTGATATTCAGGCGACTTCTCTGTTTGCGCATAATATGATTTTTCATCTGTGTGTCAGCTCCCCTTCTCTCCCTCCTCAATTCCCCTCCCTGCTTTTTTTTTTCCCTTTTTTTAATTTTTTTAACTTTCCTTATAGCAATGCCCAGTAGGAAGGCTGAGCTAGGTAGCCTACTTACTATAGCCCACTATAACAGACAGACACACATACATACATACATACATACACACATACAAAGACACATACATACATACAAACAGACAGGCACACATACATACATACATACATACATACATACAGACAAACAGACCGGCACATACACACAAGACACATATATACAGACTGACACACACAAGACATACATACAAAGACACAAACGCAAGACACACATACAAAGACACATACACACAAACAAACACAAAATATTTTAGTCACCCTCCTGTTTCCTACCTTTTAGGTGCAGGAGGGTGACATTCCCTGGGGTCCAGTGGTGGCTCAGGTGGATGGGAGTCAGAGTTCCCACTCTGACTCCCTCTGCTTCCTCCCGTGCGGTCTGTGTGTTAGCTGGGAGGAGTGACGTGCAGTCACTTCCTCCCAGCTCTGTGATGTAATCACAGGGGGCCTGGTTGTGCTGGTTGCGGATGGATCCCTTGGACGGCGGCCCGGGCAGTTTGCTGCACGAACCGGGGCCGCAAATGGTGATGGCGGTACCCGGTCGCAGGGGTACTGCTGTCTCGCACCCGTCCGCCCAATCTCTCAAAATGAGGAAATCCCTACCACCCACCTGGAATCCTGAAACGCCCACCAGTGGGCAGTAGGGACCAGGTTGACGACCCATGGTACAAAGTATAGAATAAAATGTATTATACACTATGGTCTTACATTTCTGACTTGTAATGAAACACATTTAATTATTGAGTTTCCATAAAAAGTACACCATTTTTGGCAGTGTGGCGGACCGCCAGTATATCTGCGCCACGGATTCCCTTTCCCAATGTGAAGATAAATATTGCTGATATAGCTTTCCCATTAGTCGAGACTGAATGCTGGGAGTATATCTGTTTATTTCAGGCAAGCACTCTCAATTTATACATACAGTAAACGCCTCTCTGTGCATGAGGGATTACTGAGTCAGGAAACTTACAACTCAATTATCTCCCAGGTACAAAAAAAAATCTGACAACTTTTACAACACCCCAAAAGTACCCCCAAAGTACATGGAAACCCCCGGGTAGCCCTGATCTGAGTGATCTAAAATATCCAAAAAGTACTCTGATCGGTTCGGTGATTTAGAATTGCCATTGAGGTAAAGTTTTGACCAGCCGGCCATGAGGTAGAAGCTTAAAATAGTTTGAGACATCGTGGCAACCAGTGGTGTATCCTGGTTTTGTGCTGCCCTAGGCAGGACAAAACTCAGGCGCCCCCCTCCCCCCGCGCCACCCCCACCCAACCCTTCCCCCCCCACCCCACCCCACCTTCTAAATACACACACAAACACACAGTCAGACACACACAAACACACAGTCAGACACACACAAACATACAGTCAGACACACACAAACACACAGTCAGACACACACAAACACACAGTCAGACACACACAAACACACAGTCAGACACAAACACACACACACAGTCAGACACAAACACACGGTCACAAACACGGTCAGACACAAAACACACACACACACACGCACACAGTCAAGACACACAGTCAGACACAGAAACCCGCACACACACAGACAGACACAAACACACACAGTCAGACACAAACACACGCACACACAGTCAGACACAAACACACGCACACACAGTCAGACACAAACACACACACACACAGTCAGACACAAACACACACACACACAGTCAGACACAAACACACGCACACACAGTCAGACACAAACACACACACACACACACACACAGTCAGACACACACACACACACACACACAGTCAGACACACACAGTCAGACACACACACACCACACAGTCAGACACAGTCAGACAAACACACACACAGACACACCACAAACAGACACAAACACACACACACACAGTCAGACACAAACACCAGACACAAACACAGTCAGACACATACACAAACACACAAACACAGTCAGACACAAACACACACACAAACACAGTCAGACACACAGTCAGACACAAACACACACACAAACACAGTCAGACACACAGCAGACACAAACAAACACACACACACACAGTCACACACACATCACAAACACAGTCAGATACAGAGTCAGACACAAACACACACACAGTCAGACACATACACAGACACAAACACAGTCAGACACAAACACACACACACACACAAACACAGTCAGACACAAACACACACACACAAACACAGTCAGACACAAAACACACCACAAACACAGTCAAACACACACAGTCAGACACAAACACACACACACAAGTCAGACACAAACACACACACACACAGTCAGACACAAACACACACACACACACATCAGACACATCCTTAACCCCTTACCTTTGGGAGTGCTGGGGGGGGTCTCTCTCCCTGGTGGTCCAGTGGCTGCAGGTCGGGCTGGCAGGCGGGCGGCTGGCGAGGGAGCACTTCCTCTGAGCTGTCAGCTCAGCTCCCTCGTGCGCCGCAGAGTGAGGCTGGGAGCCGGAATGTGACGTCATCTTCCGGCTCCCAGCCTCACTCTGCAGCGCGCGAGGGAGCTGAGCAGTCAGCTCAGAGGAAGTGCTCCCTCGCCAGCCGCCCGCCTGCCAGCGCCGCCCGCCCGCTCGGGATGTCTGTTAGCCGCGAGGCTAACTAGGCATTTGTCCTGGGCATTTGGGGGCGGCGGTTTTTGCCGCCCCCTGAAAAATGTCGCCCAAGGCAAATACCTTGTTTGCCTCGCGGCTAATACGTCCCTGGTGGCAACAGCCGGTCTCAGTTCAAGGATTTCCATACGAAAACCACACAAAATATCCGAATGCTTTCAAATGTCGAATGCTAGTTGGTAGTTCATATCTCCCGAAGGCCGTTCATATAGGTGGGCGGGAACTTGAACGGGCAGCCGAAATAAGTTCCAGGCCCTCAACCATCAGGTACCGTTGCCTGCGTTCGGGAGACAAAAGGGCTGCCTGGGTGTCCACCTAGTTGGTTGCACAAAATGGCGGCCACCCAGTGGAGCATTTTATTAATAATTTCCGTTGTGGTTTTGCACTGAATACTTGCACTGATCGTGTTCCACGATCTAGTTAGGTGTTGGGGTGCTACTCGTTCGGGAACCGACTAGGTGATTTCGAACAAGCAAATGAACAGGGAAAAAAAACTAATATTTCCGAACCAAGTGATGGGCCATTCCTTCACAGGCAGTTCCTATTATTATGATGGTTTTGTAAACTATCCTGTAGGACTCTCAGCAACTCATGGTTTTATGGTTCATGGACACTTGTGATGACATATGTAAATTAAAATGTGTTAATTTGCTTGTAACTTTATTAGTCATTTAAAATATAGCACTACAGCCAATCATTGTAAACTTATCCAGTGGTTTGATTTCATTTGTTGACATTTCCCACATGGAAAAATTATAAAGGTGACAATTTAATTGCTTTGCTGTGCCAATTATGACACCAGATCGGCACCTTTTGATGAAGATGGCATTGACATCAAAACACATTGTGCAGTGTCCAAACAACACTGTGTTGTCTCACATGACCATCTTGCTAATTCCAGTAAAGGCTTTTTCTGAAGTATCCTAGTACCCAACACAAAGGCATAGGAGGTCACTGGAAAGATGAAAACAAATAAAAATACTATGTACAGTCATGTTGGTAATACTTAGCAGATGTAGTCTAGTCTAGTCTAGTGTAGGCTTGGTGGAGGAGACATGAAGGGAAAGCTACAGAAGATAAGAGACAGATGGCCCCTCTCTCTCCATGTGTGCAGTTAAATGGAACTTGATCACTGTAGATCTGCTCCTAATATCTTTAAAAAAAACAACAACAAAAAAAAGAGAATAAATGACATATTTTACAGTTTTGATCACCTTTTATTCACCAACCCCATTCATCACAATTTTTTATTTCCTCAGCTTTGTGAAGGTAAACCCCATACTGTGTGACTGCCTTCTGGACAAATCGGAATATAACGATGTTACATTTCTCAAATGGGACGACCTTCTCACAAGGTAGAACTAGTAACCTCCTCTCCAACATTAAAGTTAATTGATTCAAGTGCCTTAGCACTGTTTCAACCATTTTTATTGCAGTTGTTTAAAAAAAATAGCCTATAACTTATTATACAGTATTTCATATAATTTCAGTTTGGGGACTAGAAGGAATGGAATAATAGGGCGCGGGTCTCATTGTAGTTGCTGTCTCTGTTGTTCTCTTTGTCATCATATGGACACTTCCCCAGGTGTTTAGAAAGGATGCAGCATTCACACCAGATTACCTTCCCTGGGTCTTCCCCCATTGTTCGGAAAGGAAACATCGACCCTATTGATATCAGCGTGGCACAGAGGGGATCAAACAAAAAGGTTTGCTTTATTTATTATGTACCACGATATAAGAAGCAAAGACGCAGTTTGGAAACACAATTTTCTTACTTGTTGTGCAAGCTTTCGTTTTGCTTCAATAAGATGACTATTTTATGTCTTATTATAGGTCACAATGATAAAGAACCTAGAGCTGTATGGGATGGATCCTTCTACAATTGCTAACTTACTGCAGCAGCGAGTCCAGGCCAGCGCCACTTGCACACCCCTCCCAGGTGCAAAAGACAGAGTGCAAGTGCAGATACAGGGAAATCAGGTGTTAAATGTCGGTAGACTTTTAATAGGTCAGTACAAATATTGTGTGAATAGACTTCATTCGTAACTCCTCCTCAATGAACTGTGTTGAGAATAGAGAGAGGGACTTTAATGGGATATATGACTGTGGTACAGTTTTAGTGTCAGGCACACCTAACTCTGTAGAGAAAAGCATGGCCTAATGCTAGTGTAAACTTTGTGCTTAGAAAAATGTACTTTTATGGCTCCAGCCTTCACCATATAATATCATTAGTGGAAATATTGTACTTCTGGCCCAATATGAGAACCATAGCGATAATGTTAGGTACAGCTTGGTCTTGCAATATAGCTTGTGCCATTTATAGCACATGGCAGGGGTTGTCACCCAAGCATTATAATGTTTCAGCATCAAAGCACCCCAGAGCATATATTTGCTACAAGGGGGGGGGGGGGATTTGATTTAAATCATGATTTTTATTTTATTTTTTTTAAACATTCTTGTTACTTATTCTAATATTTCATACTTAGAATAATAACTTTTCAGATTATATTGACAGCTATATCTTAACGGAGTTTGTGTTTAATAGGTTAGTCACTCATATTTGGAGAACAATTTAAAAGTTTTTATTGTGTATACACAGATTTGCAGAATAACATTTTTGCTGTGAAAAAGTACATGTCTCTGAAGACAAAAGTTTAATTAACTTAACGAGCAAGAACTAATTTACCAAAATAACCTTAAACATAAGACTATAATTTTATTAATCTAAATCATATTTAAAAAAAAAATAATTAAGATTTAAAAAAAAATCTGATTTGCACGCGCAGGATGCATATTTAAGTCTTTGAGCTGAACTCCCAAATATTTGTTTGTCTCATGTTGCATGGCTGTAGATGTCAACCTCACCATATCATATTTTTTTCACCAATGTCCTCTCTGTTACACTTATGGCAAACCACGTTTTTCTTTGCATCTCTTTTTTTGAGCTAGTCCATAATCTGTATGGTATATATAGACTTTTTGTGGTATATAACATTTCTATAGCTGTGCGTATGACATTTTCTGTGGTGGGAAAAATTAAAATGTTTCAAATAAACTTACCACTTTTTTTTTTAATGAATTTTGTTTGCAGATGATTTTAAGATACCTAGAAAGTATGTCAATGGCCTGGACTTGGCAACTAAACCTGGCAAGAAGAAGTGACAAGATGTCTTCATCTGTTCTCTAATTTCTGGATTGAAACCTTTAAGCCAAGAACCAGATCTCCACCAGCCTATTAAAATACTTCCCATGAATCACCTGCTAGCGCACATAGTTTAAGTAGCTCCAGCTGCCTGTAGGAAGGACAGACCTAAGCAATAGTTCATAATGGTTGCAAACTCATAACAGCCTCATTAGCTCAGAGGTACCATAAGACCTCTCTCCTTTGCCATGTTAAGGGATTACATTTTTCTTAAGCTTAATAGATTTCGAACAGTAGATTTATATGTGATGGAAATATTTATTCGTAAACCAATTAGCTGCCATAGAACCTGGTAATACTACATATGAAACTGTGAATACAGCCCAGTAAAGAACTGGTACCGCTGCTCCATGGACATGTTTAAGACAGAGTTTCTCATCATCATTCCTCAAGTACTTGCCTCCTATTAGTAATGTGAGTTCCTTCTATTACATTGGGCTGTCATGGAAAGCAAAATTAGTTTAAGGGGAAAAAAAACACAAAAACATGAGTGTTAACACTCCTTAACACACACTTAATGAAGCATCCTGAACCTCTAATGCACATCGGCTTGCGGTAGTGTTTTAGGGATTAACAGCGTGTGTCCATTTCAAGTCTTGTCATTACTCTTATAGAGTGCCTGGCTTGCGCCTTGCCAACTGTCAATGCATAAAACTGTATTTCACATATACAATGCAATTGCTAGCAAGTGCCGAGGAATCTTAAATAAATTACAGATCTGTCTTTTTGACAGGATATCAGTACTTATAGAAGTCATCACATGAGTGGGTCTTGGAAATCTGCCCGTCTGAGAAGTACTACTAGTCTCATGATGAGAAACTCTCATATAGAATGTGAAATATATGAATACCAATGCTGTCATGTTTTGTGTTAGATAGGCAAGGGAGTAAGTCTGTCAATTTAAATATTTCTTATCACATACATGTGCACAAAATCAGACCCAATCTGATAGAGACAAGCCAATGCAATCATTTCATACCCTCTCAACATTCAAAATTCACATGTTTATTCACTCAAAAGAGAATTCAAAGTAAATTTCAAATTTAAGGTCAAATTAGCTGGACTCTAAGGGAATCTTTTCAGTTTGAGTATTTTGACTTTAAAAGGGACACTGTAGTCACAAAAACAACTTTAGCCTAATGAAGCAGCTTTGGTGCATGTATCATGCCCCTGAAATTTCACTGCTCAATTCTCTGCCATTTAGGAGTTAAATCACTTTTTAACTGGCTGTTAGTTACACAGCCCATGAAAAAAGTGTTTCATTTTGAATCAGATGTTACTTACTTACATTTTTTTTTTTTATCTCCTGTAAAATTAACTTTAATTGCATACAGGAAGCTCCTACAGGGTCTAGCAAGTTATTAACAGAGCAGGATATAAGACATTTTATATTAAAAAATTTTTGACATAAAGGAAATGTAATCATTAGATGACTCTTTACAGTAAGTGTGTAGGAAGTCTGTGTAAGTCACATGCAGGGAGATGTGACTAGGGCTGCATTAACAAAGTCATTTAATTCCTAACTAGCAGAGAATTGAGCAGTGAAACTGTAGGGGGCATGATTTAGACACCAAAACGGCGTCATTAAGCTAAAGTTATTTTGGTGACTATATTTAAATTTTAAATGCTGTTTGAATTCTTACTTTAGTGAATAATCCTGTCCGTTTCTACTGATGAACCCCAACCCATATAAAACAGCTCTGTCTGACAGATAGGAGAAGACATGTTCCTCCCAGCTGGCAGCAGAACTGCCTCTCAGAACAGAAGATTACACCATTATTTTGCAGAATGAAAATATAGACTTACTCCTTAAACAATGCACGTGCCCCACTTGCAAATAATCTACTTTGTTCATTATTTCCCCTTTACAATCCCCACCACCAAGATCTTTTTAAGCACACAAGCATCTTGTCTGTGCTCTAGATAAGCCCCCAAATATTTTTAAATATTTTCCTACTTACATTTCCTGTTGAATCAATTTTCAATAATATATTTTTCAGAATAAAGATAGATATAGGTACAGATCAGATCTATTCCATTGATGTGTTGTGGTTTTGATGGACAATTAACAGTTATTTATTTATTTAGAAAGTATGAATTAAAAGTGAATTTAAAATTTAAGGACCAAATAGTAGGACTGGAAAAATTATCTAAGTCAGTCGTGCTTCCAGTTTAGCTATATTGGCCTTCTATTTAACATTGACTTTAAATTCTCATGTTCGTGGATAGCCCTGTGAGACTGTGCAACTATTTTAACACCCTTTTTGTTTAAAAGTTTTGGGGATTTTCCTCAATTGTACTTACCATGTTTTAAACTATTTCACTGCCATTCATGTTTTTTTAACAGGCACTCTTTCAGGAAAAAAAAAAAAAGTTTATTTGGAAAATGAAAAATGTTTGTTTCCCCGATTATTCAGGGGACGTTAAGATGTCTATTTACCATTAAAAGTATAAGGACGGTTCCAAAGAATAAAGAACGCTAGAAATTACGGTTTAAAACAGTTTATTATATACATCTCTATTTTCTCGTAATACAGTTTTCAATGTCTACAATCATTTTACATATGTGTTTTTCAACACTCAATCCGAAGACATCCAAAATAAATAAAAGGGGAAAAAAAAGAAAATAAGTACAGAAGCAGCAAAAGCATTTTTTCGTTTCCACCAATGTGTGGTACATTCTTTCCTGGAGGCTTGCCACTCACACATTAACACAGCAAAAGCAGCTGCAGGTCACAAGGCACTGCCAGAGGTATGACATTTTTTAAGATTAGGTCACACTGCGCCTGGGACATTGTCATAGAAAATTGATTAAAGACCTGTGCTTGAGCCTAGTTTTCAGAGATCAGGGCTGTCCAGCTGGCATGTTCAATTAAAAACCTGTAGCCCACTAAGTCTTTTACAATTTAGCTCAGTTGGCCATATTGGCTTTATTATATCATGTAACTGATCGCCAAGTCAGTGTTTATGGATCTATGAGAAAGTAGATTGAACTGCTTTTAAAGGCAACATAGTTTCAGAGTACTATAATAGGCATCAAAACTATAAACAAAATAAATATACTACTTCTTAAAAAGGTACGCAAAGCACCATAACTATATTCTGGTGTCAGAGGTCAAGAGGTCTTCGAACCCTGGTGTGCACAGTATTCCACAATAGATATATCAAATTTGTCCTTATTTGGACTAAATTTATTGGAGAGTGGACATTGCAAATGCAAAAAGGGTCTTCATGTTTAGCCATTAGAGGGGGATTCAGATAAGCATCAAACCATTTGAAAAAACTTTGACTACTTACTATAGGATAGCATTGGGAACCCCTGTCACCATAACCACTACATTGGTAACATGTTTCTTGTCTGTCAGTTTAACTTGCTGGCAGAGAAAATGTCTTGCAAGTTACAGTGTACATTGGATATCATTTTTTTTATTTGTAGTTCAACCAACAATGTCTCAGTGGTCCATTGTTGACCTATAACAAAAAATGGAAATGCTAAAAGCGTTTCATGGGAAGTCTTTGAATGTATTATTTTAAAGAATAAGTCCCTTTGTGTTTAGACAATGTAAATTGCTATGGTAATTCCAAGCCCACGTTTTGGGTGACGAGGAAGCAATCTTTAGGTGAGTATATATTTTAATCTCTGCACTTGATGATGGCAAAGCATTGTCATGCATGCACAAATGGTAACTCTTTGCTCTACTCATTCATTGTAAATTAGAAGCATTCACACCAGTACCTTTTATTCATTATTATTTCTTATTGACTGAGAAACAGCAAGCACCACTTGGCAATTCCCATTAAACCCTTGGAATGCATGAGTTCATAGAATATACAAAGCTGTTTTGCCCTTTACATTTTAGGGTACTTTCTTATAGTGCAATTGAACATTTTTGGGTTTATTCGTAAATTTTTGATTTGTCCGCTAATCTGCTAATACAATACATTATATTTATGTAACATAATCTCTGTCAAATGTTTAGGGGTATTATAGAATCCTTGGAATACAATTGTTCTTAAACAAGCTGTAGACATGGAAGGAAGTAAATGTACAATTATAGATGGTAATAAGATATTTTTTTTTTTTTTTTTAAATACATAAAACTGTTCACACTAAACAACATAACCACTATAGCCAACTAGTGGTTAATGCTGCTCTGGAACCATTCAATGATTTACTGTCAAAAAATACATTGTTTTAATGTAAAAACAAAAAAAAAGTTTAGGGACAGTTTGACATTAACTGTTTCTGGAGACCTCCCACCCACCTCATCTGCAACTTTGCCCCAACCAGGACTTCATTGAAATGCTGAGAACACAAGGGCTAACCTGCCCTTCAGCACTCTTAGCCAATCACTGCTGTACAAAATTAACAGTGATAATACCTCATCAATGATGGGATGGTCTCCATGCACTGGGCAGCTCTGGTATAAGGAAAACCAATCCTAAACAGTTTGACATTAAATCGGGGATTGGCATCGACTTCTAGAATAGTTTGTTTTGTTTTTTTGCTCAATGTCTCCATAAAAACGTCTTAATGTTTCCTAAAATGACTCTGAACCTAGATAGGCTTCTGTAAATTAACTTACAATTTTTAAATGAGCCTCTGTTGAAATAAATATATTTCTATACCAGCACATATAATACAGTATTCTATGTAAAATCTGGTTAGAGGAAGTGCTTCATCTATAGTACAGTTCTGGTTGTTGGTTTCGCTGTTGCGTTATGACATTAAATGGCTTTTTGTTCTGCAGAGGTAAAAACATAATGCACAAGAGGCATTAGAATTGTGAAACAAAATGGACATACCTATTTATGGTGGGGTAATCAATTAGGTACAGATTTATCACATCACATAGAAGTGTAAATCTTATTCTTGACTGTACCCAAATCATGCACGTCATGTTGGAAATCCATTCTCCACTCATAAAAAAAAAATGTTATAAGGCCCCATTTTTCAATAGTAATATATTATAAAAGAAAATTCTACAAAGCACATTCATTAGTCTATTCCCAGTGTCAAACAGCCTTGGTTGTACACAGGACAGCAGTGCTATTAAGTACTCAAATACATTTAAGAACTTGCCTAGGGTCTAATAAAAGTAATGTTTATGTCCTAACTACTGACCACCCACAAAACTAGCATAAGGACCCGGTGATCAAGTTTTAGGGTAAAATAATCTCTGTGCTCAGGGACTCACCAGTCATGTATTACAATAAAGCCTATATTTATCAAAAGACATTTGGTTGGAATTAGCAGTGCGACCTTCATTAAATTAAATGCACTTAGGCAATGCTCTGCAAACAAGATATGAAAGTGCCACAAAATTCTTAATTTAAAAATAAAGAAACAAGTTTACTGTAAGTTTCCATCTCTTCCTTATTATGTTGAATTTTTTACTCACCTTAAACTGCCAATATGGTATCCAAGTGCATATTTATATAGATATCTATTTATTGGTTTACCTATACAGCATATTATAGTTAATAGTAATGGGGATCTTTGTTGTACAGATGTTCACCTATGTCATAAATTAAAAAAAATTCAGATACTGTTAATTATTATTATTTTTTAACAAACAACCATTATTTTTGTAACTCTTGTATGCCATTAGGTAGAGTCCCAACCATAAATGGCCACATGGTAGGATTCACAGCTTGCTCTTTCCGTTTCATTCTCTTCATTGCAAAAACATATTCTAATAAGTTTGGTTCTTAGATCATAAAAATACATTGAAGTAGCTAGCATTCATCTGCCTTTTTTATCAGTAGCATAAGCTCACTATGCAATAAATAAATAAATAAGAAGACTACTGAGTGAGGGAAGAAGAGATGACATAAAAGCCTTGCTGGGTCATGAAACTCGCAGAAGATGCAAATGGCTCTTCATATTGGTTACCTGATATTGACCCGAGTGCCTTATTGCAAAGTGAACCTCAGGGAAAGAGTTAACTTAAATTAAGGGGAAAATAAAATAACCCAAGCAGATTGAAGTCCCTGAGCATTTGGAGATTAACTTTATGGTCCAAAAAAGCAGATATCTTGGGGTCAGAAAGTGCAAATTGCCCCTGATTTCAACTTTACTAATGAAGGCACCAATTCTAAAGATAGTTAGGGGATTAGGATTTGAGCCCAGCGTGACTTTATATGATCCTTTAGAGGTAGGAGGTTGCAAAATATGGCAGATAGTGCTTGAATGCCACCTCAGCCTCCTCCTCAAAAATGTTCTGCCAGTGTAGACCACCAAGACAGATCCCAGTGTCCTCTTGCTTCTTCCCAAATGCGTTAAAGCTATACGGGTTTTCTTGTAGCTTCCGTGAGTACATTCTGCAGATGCTGACGAAAAGTATCATATTTTGTGTGCACCTGGTGTACTTTTTCTCGCTCCTCTTTGTCCAGAATAAGAAGGAAATTTTGAAGCTCCGGAACTGTAAAGGCTTCCCACTGCCAAGGAGACAGAGACATTAATCAAGTAGAACTAAGTAGTCTGCTGTGTCTTGATTTTAATAAAATATTACACTTTTATGAGGATTGTCCTAGTAGACTTAATGTGACTGAAATGTGTCTAACATTAATTTCCTTAATATATTCAATTATGAAAGCGTTCATCATCGTGTATTATAAGTTAAGTGGCATGTTCTTGCTTTTTTGGAAACATTCATTAATATAGCAGCACTGGTTAAGTATACATTCTCCTATTTAGTCTACTCATCTAGTTTACCGGCATTGTTCTTAGTCATTTAACTTTATGTATATCTGAAGAAAATGTTAATTCATTTACTGAAATTATCATTAGCATTGCCATACTATACTATTGCCGCAGTTCCAATCAACTCATAGAATGAGTGGAATGGCTCAGTTGGATAGTAGCTATTCTACTTATGTAATCAGTCTATTCATAGCCTATTTCACAGTTTAGTCTATATATCATGTATATGTTAGATTAAGCATGGATTAGCACTTAAAGCTGCCATGTACCGCCATTATTTATATGTTGGTGTTGGCAATGGCAAGTTTGTGTTCAGAAGTGGCTAGTTAAAAGCATTTAAAGTCTGTCTGTCTGCTGGAACTATATAGAACCTCTGCCTACGTACAAATGATCAGATGGCTTTTGGATTTGCCTACTGCCTGCATTCCCCCAATTTATAAAACAATCCCTCTAGTTTGAACATTCTCATACAATACAAGAGAAGGCCCAGTCAGTTTGCAAACCCGAAGCCTTGCTGCTCTAAAAAATATTTTGTCTGTGATATTTACGCATTAAGAAAAATGGCATTCATATTACATGACATGAATGTGTTTATTCCCTTAGTCAACAATTGTGGAGAATTGGAAATGGGATTGAACATTTTAGGCCGCAATGGCTGACCTGGAAAACATTTCCTTAACAATACTCTACAATTGAAAATTTAGAGAATACCCCCAAAGGAGACAGGTTGAAATATGTATGTAAATTATGGTGGAATTAACTATAACAAATTAAGATTTTGTATTAATAAAGTAATACAGAAAGAAAAAAAAAAAGTTGACCAATTTGAACTAAAAAAATATTTAAATTAGGTGCCTGGTTATTGGTGTTATAATGTTCTCATTGCTCATCATTGTTTGTAAGCTCCCTCCCACAACAATGATAGCGGGTTTGGACAATCAAGGCCCTCAAATAGTTTCTATCTGAAAGAAAAAGTTATAGTGGAGGAGAGTGAACAAGAGAAAAAAGAACAAAGAAGGGATCAATTAAGGCTTGAAAGGGGGAAGGAAAACAAGAGGGGCAAGTTTACAGGAAATAAAATGGAACTAGAGTCAAGACACTAACCCAGTACTTTTGGGCACAGGATATGACTATGTTTGGAACCCAGGGCCTGGAAAAACATAACCTTCCATGGAAAAAAAAAAAACGTGAGAAGGATGTAGTGCTGAACTCACAGGGACTACAATTCTTAAAAAAAAACTACAAAAAAAAACGACAAGATGGAATTTCTGAACATTTTTATGAAGTTTTACATTTTGGGGTAAATCTGGAAACAATTTAAAGGGTTATTTCAACTACCATGAGTACTTCAGTGATATGACATGGTCATGGTAATAGGAGTCTGAATTTGCAGTATTTCTGCTGGAAACACTGTGCATAAAGCAAAATCTGCATTTGTGTGCCGGGGTTTGTTACACCCCCGGCATGTATGATATTGGTAGCAAACATGGTCCAGGCTGATCCATCGTGCGTACCATACATTGGCAACTGCCTCCCTGTATGCTCAATGCTTTTTTTTCTTTTTATGAAATATTTTTTCCCCTTCCCCCCTCACCGGCTCATATTGCATGCTTGCACTCTGAGCTGGCAAAAAGGGTCCAATCACATACCTTCCCGTGAAAAGCTTGTGATTGGACAATGCAAAGCCCTCAGGTGATGTTGAGTGGTGAGCACCTTGAGCTGGATTCCAGGTAACTACAATATTTTTTTTTTTTTGGAGAATGGGAGGCTAATTGCTAGTGCCCTATATGGCATTATACATCATCCCCCTCCAGGGGGAGTGATGTAACCCATTTAATACGCTTTTTAATATTAATATTAAATATTAATATTATATTATAAAATATTACAATTATTTATTTACAATCATTTACATATAATTTAATTGTGATTACTATAGATAAATCATTTGGAAAAAAAATTCTAACAGTATTTAATTATTTGGAAAGTTTCTCAATATCGTGGCCACAGTGTTTAGTTGGTATAAATACAGACAATTTCGAGCTCATTTTAGCAGACACTAACTTTGTCTTCAATGATTTAGCTCAAATGAATTTGCGATTTGGATGGTAAGCGAATTACCCTAATGTACTGTAGAAATAAATAATTAAAGAACAATAGACAGACTTACCTGTACATCTCCTGTATCATTCTCTTTCATTACAAAGTTCAGCAGGTCTGTTTCTGGTCCAGCCAAAAGACGCAAGTATAGAGGATGTTCTGTCAATGCAAGCTTCTGAAAATGAACTGGAAAGTTGGAAATGTTAATTTCCTTGAACTACAAGGTTAAATGTCAACATACTAAAGAGTTATGACTAAGGGCTCATTTCCAACCTTGTAGGTAAATAGCCGTAGCTAGTATTTAGTAGGGGCTATTTACCAACCAGTTCCCAACATGGTTGCTACATTTTTTTTTTTTCTTCACATTCTTTATTTTTTTCTGTGAGAATAAGTACAAGTGCAGGTTTACTTTACCACAGAGCAAACATTTCGGTGAGAATCATGGTTTTACAGAGTCTTGGCATATAAAGTATTTGCACCTATTTTATGCAAAAGAAAAATAAAAAGTGTAGAAAAGAACGAGAAGAACACAATACGGAGTATGACTTATGCAGACTGATATGAAACAAGTAATATGCACTAGCTTGGTCCACAAAGATTAGACAGAATAAAAACACGATATACTAGCACGATAGCATCAGCTTAAGCATTGTTTTGTGAACCCAGAGAAATCTCAATGTATCCTTCCTGGCAAAATATTTTATAAATATATAAATAATATCAGAAAGCCCCCAAAGTGGTGGAAAAACATAAAAACAGCATTAAGTGCGCAAGGCAATGGCGCACATAGCATGAAACAATATATAAGGTGAAACCACAGGACAGTGAATACACCTGTTAGCTCTATAAGATAGAAAAGGTTAGAAACTAAGAGTTGTATTCTGGCCAGTCCAGGTGCCCAAATCAGCCTATGCTTTCCAGAGGCAAAACATAGTCCTATGTCAGAGAGGAGCATTCTAGACCCTACAGCCAAGTGGCAAGGTCTGGTGTCCCATTGAGCCTACAGGCACTTCCCCCAGCTTTGGCTATGCACCAGACCAACACCATGTGTTTACTCTGCTTTTGCAGTTTCACCGCATGTCCTAACAGTAGCACAGATCTCCCTGGGTGGACCAGGATCACCCTCGATAGCCCTGTGGGGTAACAGAGCATGCATGTACAGTTGACAGCATGTGGGCGCGAGCTAGGCCGCATGATTTAATAAGATAAGGGGGCCTCGATCCAGTCACTAATCCCCCACTGCGTATCCTCTTTTGTAAGGACTGAGTGGGCAGCTAATGTTTAAGGCTACATGTGATATTTTATACCACTTCTCTTATTTTTAACAAGAATCTTTTTTAATTATTTGCTAAATAAACCGTGTTTGATTTTTATCCCGCTTGAAATATTATTTGCAAAGACATTATCTTAATACTGAGCTGTCAATTCTCAACACCATTTTATTTCTGACTACAACACCAGAAATACGGTTATTAAATCTGGCTAATACATATCCACCACTGCGAAGATGTATAAAGACTTTACAGTAAAGGATTAAAATACTGTCACATTTATTCCCCTTTTCTATAAGAATTAGGGGTAAACTTTTGAAGCGCTGACACTTTCTATATTACATACTTTACCATGTGATTGGCCTTAGTAGGATATAGTAACAGTGTATACAATATAATGAAGAAACTCTGGGGTGGAGTAAGGATGTCAGTGATAACAGACGTGCACCGCAACTATCAGACTTGGCGTCTGTATTCATTACACAAAGGAGCAGCTGGATACACCTAGATAAACAAATGTGCTATGGCTGCAGATCTCAAGAAAGAACTATTTGAGCTAGGTTTACGCACTCAGCTATTAGAAAAAAAAGGATTAAATAATCCAGCAAACTTAATGCTCTACTAAATGTAAAGTGTGCTTTTTTGTGCTTTTTTAAGTCAGATGAACAGATCTGGAGGATAGATCTTAACATAACAATATTCACGTAAGGGGAATACGGATAAGGAGTGGACCAGTGACTGCTAGGGAACAGTCCTTAGAAAGCGACGCATTAATGCCAAGCTCAGGGTGCTGTCTGCACAGTATGCCTTTGGTTGGTCATCCTGCATGATTGTCAAGCAGCCTGATGTGCATTCACACCAGACTGACCATTTTTTCATGCAGACTGAGTTCCCCAGCAGTAAGGCACTCCTTTGGACCAGAGGCGAGTTGTGATAGGGCCCAAATTTCTGCGCCACTGCAGCGTTGCCAGAGTTAGGTCTTGAAAGAAATTTAACGAGGAGTCCTCAAACTGCAATGGGATTTTGCCCTGTACTGCCGCCATGATACAACCTTTGTCATTCGTGGAGGTGCAGCGGATGATCATATCCCTTGGCTCAGAGGTAGAGGGTTTGGCCGTGCTGGTGATTCGGGAGACTCCATCCAATATAACTTTTTTGGCTGCCGTGCACCTAACAGCCGCCGAGTGTAATGCGGGAGTTCTTCTGCTCCTACCGCCACTGGCATGCCTCAGATTTTAATATTGTTTCACCTTAGTTGGAGTTCAAGGGTTGTCAGTCGCTGTGACAGTGTTTGGTGGTGAGTATTGAGCAGTTGTACTGGGTTTTCTAGGTTGGACACTGTGGTTTGGACGTCCAGGATGTCTTCCTCCATTGCCTTTATGTGGT